ATTTCTGATGAATTCATATTTTGATACCTTATTGATTGAACTTATACTATTTTGTTCATTACCCGCTTAAGAAAATATCTGCATGAGTCAGCTATATACTTTTAAAAGTGAAGAAAACTAATTCTAAAACTAAAAAAAAAATTGTACTTAGTAAACACAAATACATCTGTTTTCTTTGTCGAATGTGTAGCTCTCATATCGTCGATAGAAAAATAAAATTCATGCAGAATCGTGCAAAAGTGCTTTTCATATTCAATACACTCGATAGTCCGGACGATTTTGTACTTTTGGCGAGACGTAGTTTAAGAAAAATTTTCAAACGAATAGTAGAGAATTAGTAAATAACGGGATATCTCTTTTCTCATACGCATTTCTTTCTGTTCTCTTTCTTTTCTATCGGCGCATTGAGGTCGAAAAAATGTCTGCACATGGGATATCTTATGTAGAAAGAGGTATTTCCTTATTTGCTAGATTGTTATTATTTTCTCATGAAAAAGTTTTCCGTCCGTTTGTTCAAAAATTTTTCCTAAATTTTTGACAATATCTCTCGCTAAAAATAAAAAATTTTTGAGGATGTTGAGTATGCTGAATACGAAATAGCACCACAGCGGCGGTGCTCTTCTCATCGGACGAAATGTGTCCTTTTTCATGTATTATTTTTTGTGTCCTCAGAGGGCACATTTTTTTACAGTATAGTTATTGGGTTTCTTCGTTCAATTTTCTAAAACACGATTACTATTCGATTTAACGTAATAATAGCCTCTTTCATTGACGGTGTCTCCAAATCGACATTTTTGACCCGAGAGGGCCTTAAATGACTTTTTTTTAAAAGATTATATGAGCTATGGTGGCCTGGCTTTCTTTGTGAGAACTTTGCGGCAGTTTTCTTACTATGGCAGAAGTATCTAATATTTTACGCAGCTAAACGACCGGTATTCTGAGGCAAACATCAAATAAAACCCATGAACTTTGAAAATCGATTCAAGCAATCTGCATATTAGCACTCTAAAAAAGATTTCATGATGATAGTGTTAATATATCTGACGGATCACTTAAGCCACCGAGACCCGAAACTTATCTTGGTAAACATAAGTCAATTCTTGACGAAAATTTCAGAGACTGTTACAATGTCACGGAAGAGTTACGATAAAAATTTAATGATTCTACCAACTTTCGTTCAATAGATGAACTCTGAATGACAGTCAAAATGAGGTTGTTTATTTAATAAATTTAACAAGTTCTTCCAAACCAATGCAAAGTTTTGACGTAATACAAATAAAAATGTTCGTGCTAATGGATGTAAATATTCTTTTAGTTCTATCTTTCATATTAACTGAATTAAAGATTGCACAATTATGATTTTTATGCATTTTATTCGTTTCATGGCTCGTAATCCTAACAATTCTTATTTTTGTAATTTATAATACGGTTTAATGACGAACACATAAAAATTATGTGCTAAACTACCACTTTGTTTCGTATCTGGATCGCATGATACTTTCGGATACCGATCCTGTTGTTTATCTACAAGTTGTAACACATCATCTATAATAAATATCACGCCATTTAAACGTTGTTTTAAACATTACTAATACAACATGAACTGAATTTTGTATTAATAGAAAATACTGCAAATGTCTACCATATAATTACCATATTTCACACGTAACATTTCATAAAAGAACTGGAAAATTTTCAACAGCTTTTTCTGTGGATTTTTCATCGATCTCTTACAGATTTCCACCTATTTTACTGATTTACTAATATTGTCTAATCCTATTTAATTTAACTTTTCCACTGATCTATACTAGATACTTTCAAAAGGTTTCAACTCTCCAACATATGTTGGTATTAATCAACATCACAGTTAACTAATCAATTTCTTTTTACAAGACTTATCTCATGGCAGTCTGACATTCTCATTCGATAAAGCGCACAAATTTTTTTCCAGTTTTTTAGAATACGTCTTTTTCTCAAAGAACAGTCGCAAAGTCGAAGTGTTATTCTTTGAATATGGAAGAGCCATTCACTGACGTGTGTATATGCGTATTGTCCATTTATTATTGATCTAATAAGATTGAAAATGGGTACTTCATATATTAAATTGTTTTTTTTTTCTATTGTTACCCTGTCTCTAAACAGTGTAATGTATTTTTTGAATAATAGAGTTTAACTTCATTATATGTCCAACAGGATGACATTTATATTTTGAGAAATGTTTCTGACAGACGTATTCTTTAGCGTGTGTAAGAAACACTTATTTTCAAAAAGAAGACAACTTATTCGACATTTTGATGAGAGAATACAATGAATAATTATTTTCTTATGTCAACGAGGTTACTATTAATTTTCCACTTATCGTTAGGACTTACATATTCTAATTATCTTCTATAAATGACTTTCTTTCAAAACTATTAGTAGTAAGCGGTTCTTCTTATTTTTCTAAATATTTTTATTGTACCAAGTTATTTTTCGGTCTATTATACAATCATATCTCATCAAAAACTCTCTCTCTTTCTCTATTCTTTTGTTTTTGATGACACTTTAGAATTGCTCAACTCTTTTACTATTTTAGTAACGTCAAAAAAAGGAAACAGAGTGACTGATTTATAATGTAGTCTCTATATCAAACATGTAAGTAATATAACTGTATTTATTATTTGGCTTTTACCATTATAAACACAGTGGGCAATCACATGGAAGTTAGGTGAAAAAACGAAAGCTACTTTTTTAATGATTTAAATAGTGTTTTATATACACTAGCCAATGGCCAATTTAATGGTGAAAAATATTTGATCCAAATGCTTTAAGTGGTGGAGATGAGTAAGTCCCAATTTTTTGCAATTTTTGCTACAACTCGACGAAAATCGTTTTCTCTTGTCAAATAGGCAGTCACTTAAAAATTGTAACATATATATTCTGAAAGCTGCGCACTTGGGCTATTGATTCATAAAGAAATTTTTGTCCGAACGGGTTTGCGAAAAGAAAAAAACATGATTTTTATCTGCACGAGATGTCTTTCGGAAACATGCTCCCAGTAAAGTGGGCACGCCATTCACATCCAAGCACTGTTTTCAATCAAACTTTCAGCAATTGTTCCTCTGTATGTGGCACGTCTAGATGGAATGCCCAAACTTGCCCAAACATTTCTGGGCGAAGTTGTAGATTTTACAAAAACCCTGGATTTTTATCGTTTTCTCACGTTTTTCTTAGTAAAAAATCATCCTAGCTAAAATGTAAGGACATATTCGGAATCAGCGTCAAAAACTGTATCTAATGATTGGTCATTTTACCGCTTTCAACGCATGTATGCTGAATTTTTCTGACAATAGATTTTCCAAGATTTTTCTCTAAAGTTAAAGCTGCTGTTTTTGCACGGCATCTTGAGCGTTCGAAAATTGTGAAAACCAGTTTTCTATAGGTTTTCGGCCATAACGAATCTAATGGTGTTGTTGAAAAACTTTCAAAGTGGTTTTTTGAAGGTTTCCAAGAGACTAGATCTCTGGAAAACCACCACAAAACCAGATTTTAGCTGGAATACGGATGCCATAAGAAAGAGCGCACACGAAAACCTATTAAAAAGAAATTTTTCGGTTCAACGAATCGCTCTGAAACAAATTTCCACGTGCCTATTGAAAATTGCCCACTGTGATACATGGCACACGGAGTACGGAGTACTGCTGATACTAAGGAGAGTGTCTGTATAGCAGTAGCGTCGCCTGATGCAATAGAGCACTGATAAGACGAACGTCGGATTCCGTACTAATAAAAAGATACATGAGTTCTATCAAACATAATTATAGAAAATGTCTGTAATGGACTGCTGTTGAACAGAAGTGTTCATTTATCCTGGATTATCTGCGAAACTGAGAAATAATATATATATTAGGAGTGGCGATGGGATGGAACGACCCATTCAACCTATGGGCTTTTTTAAACCTTTGTTATACCTTTTTTAAAAAATGCTTGAGAGAATGAAAACAAAGTATTCAAAGTGTGGCACAACTATACACATATAGAACAGAAAACAAAACTTTTACTGAATCTCATGGCCAAGGACTAAAGTTTTTGCAAATGACATTAAATAGGATAACCCACTTCGCCCCATCTCATCCCATTGCTAATCCCAGCATAAATATGATGTGTCAGATAGTTTTATGAGATAGAATAAAATCATTTTTTCTCTTCATTAGACACTTTATATTTTAGATCATCATTGTACTATAGTAGTAGTCGGGATAATGGATGATTGACGCTTCAATTGAGAGAATCAGAACTAAAAATGATTCGAAAACATAGAATGTATGTCACTAAGAGCCAATCACAGCAAGAGAACGAGAGGTGTTTGAATAAGAACACGAACAGAGATGACTGTAGATTGATGGTTCTAGCCCCATTTGTGTTGTTTTATCATCGCATAAACAACTGCATTAAATATTGGTCGAAGATAAATTGAAGTATTAAATGTATTATAAAAGAAATTAAGTGATTATATCACCTTCAGGACAATTTACTTTTTGAATTTTTTTCTTTACTTAGAAAACAAATAAATGAAGGTAATACATTTTAGAAACACATCGGAAAATTACTAAACTTTATTTTTGTATTTCTAGAAGAAAACATATCCTAATGTCTTTTATTCTGCAATAAGAGGGAGAGAGGAAGAGAAAGAGAGATAAAACAGTCTACTAATTCATTGAGAGCAATAAGAGTTCTTTAGAATACTCTTTATATCATATCCCACCATAATAAACGTAAATTACCACCAAGATGTCATTATATTCATAATTTGGTTATATTATCTAAATTTATTCAGCATATTTAGTAGTAAGAAGTGTTTTTCTACAATCATCGATATAATTATAGAAAACATGACAAAAAAACAACACAATTTGCGGATAATAAACACAAATCTTTCTGAAGAAAAAATTCGTTTTTCGAATACTCTCTTCTGTATACCAACTTGTTTTCCACTCAATACTTCTTCATTTCTTGCTAAGATGTTAAAAAAGTAAGTTTCTGTTCACTTCTGTATATCGTACAATACTGCATTTTATTTTTATTTTCTCTCTAAATAATGGTTAAATTGAGTAATGGTAAAAAATAGGAAAAGGAAATATTTGACATAGTTCGAAAATCATAAATGTGAGAAATAGCAATAGAGAATGGAACGAAAGGAAAACATTTGATGAACAAAGTCGTCGTATTTTTCCCATGTTTTAAAATTACATAAAAGTCACTTATATCTGAAGCACAGAACTAAAAGAAAATTGATTAAATAAAAAAAAAAGAGTTGTATTTTAGACAAATAATAATAATTTGTTACATCAAAAATATTTTTTGTTTAAAAACGTTTAAATTAAACCCAAGCTCTCGTGTTTTCTTTCTCGTTAGAAAACAAGAAAAAGAAAAAAATCTATATGAAAAACACCCAAAAATAATTATTTATGATTTTCTTTACTCGTTTTTTTTTTTTGTTTCTGATACAGAAGAAATTGTTGTGTGTAGTGGTAGGGAGGGGGGGGAACATTTGTTGTGTATAAGGGAGGAGAAAATGACTCTAACATAGACATAGCACATTTGAAATGCTGATGATCTTGGAAATTATGTTGAAAAATGATTAACGATTTCTGTCTAATTTAATATCTTGTTCGCAATGTATCGTAAATGTTGTATATTATCAATAAAATATGTCTTACAAATACGAGACACATATAAGCAATACCAACCATGCTGTTTTTGTTTTTTAATAGCGTATTTAGCTTTGTGTGACAGTTATTGCCAGTATACAATCTCGTTTATACAATCTCTAATAATAAGTGATAAATGTGTCTATTATATCATGCAAAGAAAATATGAAAAAATAAAAAATTCCTTCTAAACATGAATGATAAGAGAATTTAGGGTCATTCATAATCGTAAGTAAGTTAATGATAGCATCGTTAAAAAAAACTCCGATTATAATAAAGTTGAGTTGTCGATGTACAGAGAGAGAGAGAGAGAGAGAGAGAGAAAGAAAAGGATATGTTATGATTTTAAAACTTAACATAGACATAGTGATGAGATTTTTTATTCACTATTAATTGTGATAATTAGTAGTCGATTATGAATTTTGATTGTGTGTCTAACATCAGTACGGAGTATGTTCAACAGTAAAAACTTGATTAAACTATCATGCTTATCATGCTTAAAATTTTTATATTATTTTGTTTTAGATTTAAAAATTATTTGTCTTACAATAAAAAAAAATGTCTCAGTATTCAAGCGAATGGACTAGCATTAATTATATTTAAAATTATGTTATTTTTTCGTCGTCGTGATACAAATCAATCACATTCACAATTATCCGATAATGAACGATGTGTTCATGCTTCATTATTTTTTGCATTTATATTTCTTACAATAACTATCGTTTTATTCTATTTTGCTGGTAATAATAAAAATTCAAATGAACGAACATTTTACTTTATTGGTGCCGGTGTTAGTCTATTAATATTACTATTTTTAGTTGTATGTGCGATTATTTATATTCGACGTTTATGTTATCAATCACCATCAATACATCGACATACAGCAACTGCCTACAAAGTTAGCACAGAACATATTGGTGATGTTCCACCATCACATACCAATTCAAGACCAATTCATTTATATAATAAAAGATAATAAAAGAGAGCTGAAAACTGGAATCTTATGTGGATAATAAAATATATTAGGTAAAATAATTTGTCTTACTAGTCATTTATTATCACGTGTTCTTTTTTTTGTATTTTTAGATTACTGACGATTTTAGTTTATACGAAGTATCATAATGTTTCATTCAATTTACCCTAACTAGATAAAAAATACTTTTATATTATACTAAGTGATTTTTCAAATTAAATTATTTATATTTTAGATGTAGAGAAAATATTTTTGTTTAAATTTTTAAAGCATTCTCTAATAATAGGAGCTTTTTAAATGAAACTAGTCAGTCTTTCGAGATATCTTTACAAACTGTAATCTCAGCATAATTGTAACACAACTAGTTTCCTTTTAAAATTGAAATATAATCCCTATTATGCTAGAAAAACGTATTCAATTCGAATAATTTTGTAAACACATAAGATTAAATCCCAAAAATTTGTATTTTTAACTTAATGAATGTGAGAATGTTTCAAATGTCTCTTGGACATAAGATATCTCCACATGGAATTACAAACAAAAGCTAACAAAATTAGAGCAATTTAACAAATACATTTTTGCTTTTTTTCTTAAAAAAATTTAAGAAAAAAATTAAAAGTGAATAGAAAACAGCAAAAATTTTTATCAAAAACAATATGCAAAATATTTCCTAGGAAATATATATAACAAAAATGAACAACACATTGTATAACAAAATTTGATGACTATAGTCTTATTTGTGTTCGTAGCATTCTTATTCGTCTTCACCATCACTATCGAATTTGACTTTTTTATTTGATGCTCCACCGCCATCACCAGACAGATCAAAACTACGTTTTGGTCCTCCACCGCGACCACCACCACCACGACCGCCTCCACCTCGTCCACCGCGTGAACCTCCAAACTTTCTTGGCTCTGTACAATCACGAGACATATGACCAGGTTGTTGACAATTGAAACATACATCTAAACACCACAACAATGTTAGGTGATTTCAAAAGAATGCTGTATTTCGTATCTTACTTGATTGATCACCTCCTGAGGGTCGACCTCCGGCTTTTCGCGGCTCTGTACAATCACGAGACATGTGTCCTTCTTGATTACAATTATAACAAACATCTATGTAAAGAGAAGAAGAAAAAAATCGATTAACTTTATCAAAAATAAATCTCATTTAATTTTATCTTTTACTTGAACTTCCATTCGATGGACGACCACCACCAGTTTTAGGTTCAGTACAATCACGTGACATATGTCCCGTTTGTCCACAGTTATAACAAGCATCTACAATCAAAACCAACTTTGAAGAAAGAACAAAAGTGAAGAAAACTTTTTTCTTACTTGATTGTCCACCACCACCGCCAGATTTTGGTTCAGTACATTCTCTTGACATATGTCCTGTTTGTCCACAATTGAAGCATGCATCTAATTCGAGACATCAACAATAATAATGTAAATATCGAGACAAAATAAATTCTTCTTACTTGATGGTCTGTCAAAACTGCCACCACGACCATTACCACGACTATTTCCACGCGATCCACCTCGTTGACCGCCTCTTCCTCCACCTCTCGCATTCTGAAACATAATGTTAAAATGGAAAATGTTGATAGTAGCAACATACGAATAACTTACGTAATCATTTCCTCCACCATTCATTGATGCTTCGTCTATTTCTGGGAGTTCTGTTATTGCTTTTAATTGTAATCGAGGACTATCTTTCCAATAGCCTTGTAACGTTTCATCTAATTCGCTAGGAAGATCAAAGACGGCACCCTAAAAAAGAAGTAAATACGAAGTTAAAAAATAAGAGTCAAAGTAAAATTATCTCTCTACATATGTTTTGTAGTATTTTTTGAAACTCTTACTTTTCTATCTTTTGTAAATCCTATTTTTGAACAATTACTTTTTGCATCGAAATCATCTCCAAAACAACGTCTCAATGTTGTATATACTAATCCAACGCCTTGAAATTCATCTTGAACAGTCATCATATAAGTTGTATAATTCTAATAAGAAAAATAAACAAATTTTTTTTTGTTACATTGTTCTCTTTGAAAAATTTTTTATACAACATCGACGAAGAAATAAAAATACATACTTCTCGATTCGTAAGTAATGATTTTGTCCCACCGCTTGTTGTTCCTGATACACAAGCAAGTGCAGCTGATAATGCATCAATAGCATCACGTTTTTCGAGTATGTGTTCGGCTGTTGAACGAACATGTGCTTTAGCTTCTTCTGTAACGCCATCTATTGCTCTAAATTTAAATGATATTGTACAACAAAAAATAAATAAATAAAAGAGAAGGAGACATACTTTACTAATTGAACATCAATTGTACTTTCACGATCTTGATCTGTTGACATTTGTTCAACATTTGTTGCTGTTTTCTGTTTACTATCTTTAATTAAATCGATCATTTCATATCCACTAGACATATATTGTTTTTTTGCTTGTTTAATCCAGTCAGGAATTGTAGCAGAAAACACAATCATTTGAGGTTTTTCTGTCGTGTCAGATGAGAAAACATTTGATAATATTTCATTAACACTGTCTTTAAATCCCATATCTAACATTTGATCAATTTCATCTAATACAACATGTTGAATATTTTCCAATGATATTTTTCCATTTGAAATAAAATCTGATAATCGAGCGGGTGCAGCAACAATAATGTCACATCCTGCACGTAATCCTGCTTCTTGTTGATCATTCTTTTTACCACCGATTGTCACAACAGATAAATTTGTAACAATTGAACTAAAATCATCGGATATTTGTTTTGTTAATTCGCGTGTGGGTGTTAATACTAGAACGCGTGGTGAACGACCATCTTCTAATTGATCACTATCTTGACTTTGTAGTAATTCGACAATGGGTAGAATAAATGCTAATGTTTTTCCAGTACCTGTTCGTGCTTTAACAATACAATTTTTTTTCTCATGGATAAAATTGTAACTTTCTGATTGAACAGGAAATAAAAATTCTACACCACGAGCTAAAAATATTCGAAAGAAACGTTCAGTCTATGATATTAATAGTAGACTATTTACTAACCTTTTAATTTTTTAATTGTTTTCTTTGAGATTTTAAAATTTTTTAATATCCCTTTTGCTCTTTCTTCTTCTGTAAAATTTAATTGATCTACAGCTGTTGTTTCATCCTGACCATTTGTTGTTGAGTCATTATTTCCATTTTCTTCATTCGTTTCTACGTCATGTACTTCTACAAATATGAAGATAAAATGAATAATTAATCAATAAATAATAAAAATTCGTTTACCTTCGACGATTTTTTGTTTTTGTTTTTGTTTCATGATAAAATTGTTTTAAAGCTGAAAACAAAAACAAATAAGCAAAAAAGAAATCTAATGATCTATTTAACTTACTAGTTATTTAGTTTTTATTAATCGGTCTCCAATATCTGTAGCTTGAACAAAAACTTGACCGATATTATCTAAAATAAAAATAATAAAAATTTGGAATCTCTTCATGCATTGATGATCATAGAGAAAAAGCACCAGTAAGTCAATATATGTGAACTGACACACAATTATTTATCAAATCAAAGATCTCTTTCTATTTTGGAAGTATGAGTTAGGTTAGAATAAGACGAATGTTCAAAAATTTTCAAAGTACAGTAGTTACAAACGAAAAATTAGACTAAAATGAGAAATATAAAAAAATTTGAATTAATTTACGAGAATATAAAATACAACCCATTCTTTCAAATAAAAATATCAAAAATGCATCATACAAACAAATAAAACGTAATAAAATAACAATAAGTAATAGAACAGTAAACAAATATGCATAAAAATATATCACAGAAGCGCTAATGAATTTTTACAACAGATTCATATTTCCTCGAAATTTTACTATATTAATCAAGATTTTAGTGGTATAGATTCAGTTTTTTAGTTAATCTAAAAAAGGTTCTCTTCTATAGTAAATCTATTAGTTGAATTTTGAAAAAAAGAAATATTAACAATCAACTAGTCATTTAATCTTGAGATTCGACTTTATATTTTGTCACCTAATTTGTGCATATTAGAAAAACAAGATACAAATAAGTCTGGAATATATAATAGTTTTAATTCACCTTTAATTAAATAGAATAACAAAATAAAATAAATAAAATAGACTAAAAAAATTTCCTACAAATACTTTTTAATAAATTCAATTATTCGAGTTTCCATATAAAGTCTGTCTTCCATTTTTCGAGGCATATGACGTTCATCAGGAAATGAAAGCAATTCATATGATTTATTTGCTTTTATTAATGCATTTATTAAACGAGCTGTATGTCTAAAATGAACGTTCTCATCAATAAGGCCATGAATAATCATCAAATGTCCATTTAAATTTTGTATATGATGCATCACACTCGATTCTTTGTAACCGACAACATTTACTGCGGGAAGTCCCATATAACGCTCGGTGTAGTGAGTATCATAGCCTAAAAGAAAACAAAAAGTGTTAGTTCAACAGATTGTTAACAAGTAGATTAATCTTTATATGAGCGATTATTGACTTTACGTCTTTTTGTATTCAGCCTTGAACATATGCAATGATATGTGCTACGATTATAGCATTTTTCAGTACAAAAAAACTATCAGAGATAATAAACTTACCATCCCAATGCGTCACAGGTGCACCGGCAATGCCCAATTTAAATGTATCATTTGCTCGCACTAATGCACATAACGCCATGTATCCACCATAACTCCAACCAAAAATACCCACACGTTTTTTATCACAAATACCCTGTTGTATTAAATAATTAATCCCATCCACTTGATCTTCAACCTCTTTATTTCCCAGATCATGTTTAATTGCACTTTCAAACTTCAACCCTCTGTTTGCTGAGCCTCGATTATCAATTCGGATAACTACATAACCCTGTTGGACTAATAGTTGTGCACGCATATCAACTGTTAAGGCCCAACTATTAATTACCTAGAAAAATTTTTTTATCAACTATTAATTTGACTACTTTAGTAGGAAACTTTCATTCGAGTCTAAAAAATCGATTTTTGATAGAATTAAATCTCATTAACAACAAAACTACCAAAATTTTCTGCAAATTGATAAATGATCTACTATTAATGGTAAACTAAAGCTAATTCAAAACTGACAATGGAAAGTCGGATATTGGCTATTACTAGACGCTTGATCTGAGCGTGTGGTCTAATCGACTTTTACTTATAACAAGTAACGCAGAAATAACTGATTACTTTTGAAACTTAAATTTCTGTAAGTGAAACAGTATTTTAAACTTATATTTTATAAACAAACGATGCACAAGTTAATTCTCTACAAGACTGTATATTTGACTACGAAATTAGTTGAGTTTCCTCGGCATACCGTATAAAATAATAGATTATCCTTGTTTTTAAAACTTCTCTACCTATAAATTTATTCGCGAACTTTATTGCCCTAAAACAGCGTTATATATTGAAAAAAGATACCACCCAATTATCTAGACGATTTTGCATCTTTTCTCTATAAATCGAAAATTGTCGTACTAAACAAAACACATAAAAAAGTTGGTTATTAGAACTACATGGTTTTCGGGGATATCTGATGGATTTCATGTTTTTCTTATTGTATCGCTCAATAAAACTATGATGTGATGTAGAAAGTCACCTATCTCGATAGAGCAACAAATTCTATATCTTTCACTATCATAGTGAGTTCGAAGTTTGAAAGAAAAATACAAGTGATAGTGTAATTTTGACCTAATTAGCGCAATATCTAGTTCTAGAGTTTGCAATATCTATTTTCTGGCGAAGGAACAGAATAACTTTGATAAAAATTATACATTTTGTTTCGTATCTTTTTATGAGAGACGCCGGTTCGAACACTTTGCGAAGTCTGACAGGGAAAGCTATAAATGTTCGAGAAAATTCAACTAATTTTGGATACTAAGTTTTATAGAGAATTAAGTTGTACATCGCTTGATTATAAATAAAAGTTTAAAACACTGTTTCACATAGCGAAATTTAACTTACCAAAACTCTCGAAACCAGCAACTTCCAAAGTGATCATTAGTTTCTGGACCATTCGTTAATTAAAGAAAAGAAACTTGTTACTTACACGTTGTGCATGAGGTCCACCGTAGACAGAAACAATTGTTGGTAATGGTTGTTGTTGTTGAACCGGGCGATATAACGCACAATAAAGTGTATCATCATGTCTATTTTGTATTGTGAATAGTTCTGGTTTAATAAACTGATATTTCTGAATTTGTTGTTGTTGATTTTGTTGAAGATGTTTGAATTCATATTCGATATTATTTGTTTTCAAATTAATTATTCGAACAACTGGATGTTGTTCGAGACTATTCCATGTATCAATACAACGTTCATACTTATGATCGATACATGATACTGTGTGACAACCATTTTCTTCCGTATGACGAGTTATTTGAGTTGATGATGATTGATAAGAAACACTATACAAATGCACATATAATGGACTTTCACGATTAGCAAGAAAATAAATTAATTCGTTCGTCTCATCAACATCAATTAATCGAAATACAACCCAATCACCGCTTGTTAATTGACGAATGAGTTTACCATCATAATCTCGTAATTCTATATAAACAAAGAACAACAATAACAGTGAATGAATGATGATGAATGATTTTTATTTCGACAACAGCAGTTTTACAATGATATCTACTTCGAACACTTATAATTCATCTTCATATTGTTTCTGATTCTTTTTTTTTTATAAATTCTCTTACCTAAGTGCATAAAACCACTTTGTTCACTTGCCCAAATAAATTGATTATTTTCTAATGGATAAAATAAATTGTGTAAGTTAATCCATACATCACTGTTTTCTTCCAATAATATTTTTAATTCATTTTTCATTATATCATAGCGTAATAATTTTAAATTTGTTTGTAAACGATTTTCAATTTGAATAGCCAATGTATTATCATGAAAAAATTTAACACGTGCTATATAATATTCATCATTTTTTGTTATTTGACTTAGATTAATCCATTTTATGAAGCCTGTTTCCACTTCAACAACAGCTAAACGAACATTTACATTAGATTTTCCAGCAAATGGATAATGATGTTCTTCATCTTGTAACGGATCATCAGATCCCTGATGAGCAATACGATATACGGGTACATTTGTTTCATCAACTTGAGTATAGGCGATATATTTTGAATCATTCGACCACCAAAATCCCTCAAATCGATCCATTTCTTCTTGGGCTGCAATAATACGATACAGTATAAATTAAATGAAAGAAAATCGTCATACATCGAAGATATATATACTTTTAGGAAATAACTACACGAGATAGGTGAAAAAAATATCTTTCTTTTCTTATAGTACGTACCAATAAATTCTGCTAAACCATTTGTTTTATCAGCATAACGTGCGTCAGTTGTTAACTGTTTAGCTTTTGTTTTACCATCCGTCGCTATTACATAAAGTTCTGAATCTTGAACATAGGCTAATGTTTTACCATCTCTCGATAATCGTGGATCTAATATTGGTTTATCATTGGATTCACATTTAATCAATAATTTCAATTGCTGACTTTCATCTTTTATATACAAATCACTACCGATTGGTATAAGCATCAGATAACCTTTCTTTGCCCATGAATATCGTGTAATACCAGTTATTAATTGTCGTTGTCTTTCTCGTCTTAACTTTTCTTCTTGTGATAGATTATCTTCTGTTTCACCTGTTCTATTATCTGGTGGTTGAACATAAATTGCTTCACTATTTTGAGTATAATTATAAGTATAAAGTTGTCGAACAAGTGTATCATTTGGACTCCGTAAATACGTAATAAATTTATCATCGGGACTAAATGAAAATGATTCAGCTACATTTAAGCCTGGTTGAGGCAATGTTGCAATATCTTTTGCTGTTATTTGACGTGACATTTCAACGAAAAATAATATCTAAAAATTTAGTAAAAAGCTCTTATTAACGTCGATTTACAGTTATAAATAATGTCGTAGATCAAGAAGATAGTTGACAAAAAAGAATGCATTCGATTAAAGAGTAAAACTTAAATTCAACTCGTCACTATTAATTAAGACTTAAAAAGCTAAATCAAAGTAACAAGATGAAGTCCCACAAAGCTCGAGTAGATCTTAAATTGAAGACAAAACTCAGTGCTGCCAGAGTGGTATAGGAGTAAGAAATTTTCTTCTACAGAAAATAAACATTCTTTAGAAGCTTTTGTAGAATAAAAAATTCTCTGTCTTTTAAGTCTCTAACAGGATCTTCAAGTACATTTAATCTAGGTCATCTATTAGAATAAAAACAAAAGATAATATGATAAATATATCTTTATCTATACACTGCAATAAATAATCATTCAAAGAATACATAAAGTCAGAAGTAGAAATTAAAAGAATAACAAAAAAGATACGTTGAAAAAGAAGACAAAAAAAAAAAGCTAAAGTGCCAAAAAAAAATGATAAAAATGATTGCAAAATAAATGAGAAACAAAACATTTTCTGTTCTTCGATTTTCTATCACCACTTAAATCTATTAGAAGACATCAACTCGTTTGAAAAAGCTCTACATCCATCATGGATTATTTTCTCATCTTTCTCAAATTTATATATTTTCAATAGTAGAACAAAACACGACGTCGTATAAATCATTTTGTACTTGAAATTACTGTATATTAAGCTGGATTATTTTCATATAAAAAAGACTTCATAATTAATCTATTTTCTTGTATTGTTGGATAAATCAGAACTATAGTAGAAAAAAATAGCTGAAAATTAAATCTTTGAGAGAAATAAAATTCGATTATTTACACCAATCTTCTAACTTATACGAATAAAATGATTTCTTCTACAACCAAATTATGACAAAATTTAAGAGTTACTAAATTTCAGCGTTTGTTTTTAAAAGTATTTGTAGCCACAAACATGACTAAGAAGAGACGATAAAACACATAACATCGATCAATATAATAACAACAACAACAAAGAAAGATCTGATAAATAATCAATAGAATATTTATATATAAACAAAAAGTTGAAATATTGAATTGGAATTGACTGATTACTTGTTACGAATTGTTACTCTAGCACATGAAATGGCAAAAGCTGTTACCAGTGATGATGTACTATTTTTATTATTACTTGTAATAAAGTAACATTGCGTTTATCTTATTACAAGTATCAAAATGTTAGTTTTTACTGGTAATGGTACTATGTCATTCCAACATCCAACAAACACTCGGTTAAAAATATAGAGGAGCAAAAAAATAAATTACTGTTTGAAACAGTCAATGACTATATTGGAAAAAGAATCTAGAAATTGAGAATATTAAACTAGAAATCAGAGTTATTTCTAGTTTATTGACCAGTTAGAATTCTGGTTAAGTAATCTTAATTTCTATATGAGAATATTAAGCATGCTTGTTTATGAAGAAAGATAAAATCGAGTATATATACATGAATACTAAAGCACAATTAGTTGATTGTTTATTTGTGTTTTGTTGTTTATTTAGATTAATTTAATCTTGTTTCTTTTGCACTGATTGTTCGTACGATGGTGGTTGAGGATAATTCTATAAAGAAAAAAGAACGAATGAACGCGCTCGTATAAGAATCATATTGACCAGATAAGAATGACAGTGATTGTTTCAGAGACAAAACACAATTGAACTTTACGGTTTAGACTGAATACACTTTCTTTAGATGATGTAAATTGTTGTTTGTAGTAGAATAGAAAATATTTCCTTATGACTTACTTGTACTTGAGGAACATAGATCTGGTTTGGATTATAATTGTTTTGATATGCTGTTTGAACACTCTGATTATGGTTTAAGTTAGGATACATTCCTGACGCATCAGGTTGGTTTGGCACTGACCATTGAGTATTAGAATAATTATTTTGTGCGGCCGATGGAGGATAATAATTGGGTTGGTTTGGCTGAGACGGTGGATAGTTATTACCTGGCGGTGCTGATGGTAGTTGTTGTGGATATTGTTGTGGTTGATGGCTTGGCAATGGTTCAGGATATTGTGGGATAAATTCGGGAGGTTTAAATTGTTGATTACGTTCATAAAGACCGGGATATGGAGCCTGAGATGGCGAGACAAACATATTTGTATCTAGAAAACAGTATAAAAAAATTAGAACTTTCAAAAAAAACCAGTACCAAATATACTCACCAGCAAAATTATTATTGACTGCTGCTCTTTCGTAGCTTGGAGGAGGTGGTTCATAGAGATTTGCTACTGATATTTGATAGCTTGGAGGCTCACTAGGAACTGAGAGATAAAAAACGATCTAAATTATCAGTGGCGTTTCTAAATGTAACTTATTTTACGTACAGTTTTGTCGAACCGCAACTAAACATTTAGCAGTATCAATTGCTCCACCAGATGGAAAATTCAATTCAAATTTTACTACGCCAGTAAAACCACCTAAAATGCATGAACAACGGATAATATATTCGGAACCATAGTTTATTGTTAAACTTTCGCTAAGATAAAATAAAAAATGAGAAGAAACGATTTTCCTATCTTATTTTTAGTAGAAAAATTGGAAAGAAAGTCCTTTTGAAATGTTTACAACCGGTTTATCAATATCTGTGGCCAAATAAATATATAGCAAAATACAAAGCACCAAACGTCACAACAGTGAATACATAAGATGGTGAACATCGAATGGTTAATGTTGATTCTAGTTTGTGCAATGGTATTTCTCGCTCATACTTCTGTCGACAGATATCCATATCTTTCGTACACACTACTATTCTGTTTCTGTGTGAAATCTCTTTTGTCATTACGAGACATTGACAAATCGTTTTGACAGAATTCTGTACTTCTTTTACGAAGTAGATAGACAGAAGCAAAATCACTCTCTAACATCTCGACAGTAATCACAAATATCTTGGATAGTAGTCCACTTCGCAAAATTCACAGTATCTTTGTTTCTGTTGATCTTATGCAATATGCATTTTCACTTTTAAAGTTGAAAAAATATTTTCGTCAAAAACACAGAATCAATCCAGATTTCATGATCTGTTTTTAACAAGTTAGCCTACACCTTGTTCTTCTTTTAAAATTTTCACAACCTTGAAAAGTACTTTAAAAGTACTTGTACTGGAAAGCTTAGGCACTACTCGAGTATTTAGCAATTGAATTCTGTATTTTACTACTATTTCATCTATATGTGAAAGATCACGGTCATCATCCGAGGGTTCTAACATTTCTTTTATCTCCCTAATAACCGTCTCATATTACATCGTTATCTATTCATTAATAATGAGTAGAACACGAAATATAAAAATCACATTATAGCTAATAGAAACAAACACTCGTTGAAGAAGGGTTCCATAATGACTTTAAAATTATCTGTGCTTTTTTTATTCATTTGTTTCATTATTCATGTTCAAATATCCAAACAAGAACCAGATTATTATCGGTACTTACAACAATACGGCTATACACCAAAAGTTGAAGGACGAAGACTGTTTACAGTTCTTGGAAAATCACCGTACACAGATGCTATAAGAACATTTCAACGCCTTTATCGTTTACCGGTAAGCAAAAAAATCGAATTCATTTTATTACATTGATAATTTCTGTATTTTCAAGACAGAGTAGCAATATTAAATGTAAGCTTTTTCTGTTTTAATTTATTCTGCAGGAAACAGGTGAATTAGATGAAACAACAAAAGCATATATGAAGAAAGCACGTTGTGGTAACCCGGATATTGGAACGTACGATAGTATTCGTCAGCCGGTTGCTGTTGATGCACCAGCTGAAATGCGTACAGGTGTAAAAGCTCGATCAGGCTTGAGTATACCATCAAAATATGTTACTGGTACTGGTATTTGGCCAAAAAAACATTTAAAATGGTTTATTGAAGGATACCCACAAAAACAGAAAAAAATTAGTACCGAAGAACTACACAAAATATTTCAACAATCATTTAACGATTGGGAACAACATACATCGTTAAAGTTTGAAATGGTTAATAATGCGAACGATGCAAATCTTAAAATTAAATTTGAATCAGTTGAACATGGCGATGGTTATCCATTCGATGGACAAGGACAAACATTAGCACACGCGTTTTTTCCGACAAGCGGTGATATCCATTTCGATGATGATGAACATTTTACAACCGAATATAAAAATTTAGGCGAAGATCAATATACATTGAGACTGGTGGCTTCACACGAAATTGGGCATGCACTAGGTAAATTGTATAGAATAATCATTATTGGCGTTTGATTATATGGCTAAAACATTTCTATTTTCATTTTAGGTCTAGCTCATTCTTTAGAACCGGAATCCCTCATGTTTCCGTTATATCAACAATTTGATGCTAATTATCGTTTATCAACAGATGATCAAGAGGGAATACAAACATTATACGGAAAAAAAGAAAATATTATAAATACTGATGATAATTCAAACAAAGCTACTGAGAGACCAGGTCATCATCATGAAATGGACCCATTATTTCCCACTGATAATTGGTGTAGTGCAAGAATCACTACAGGATGTGAAGGTCCCGATGGTGAATTATATTTATTTAAAGATAAACAAGTCTGGCGTTATCGTGCACGAACTAAACGTAGTTGGGATCCAGAACCAAAATTAATTAGTGACCGTTTTCCAGGTATAAATACAACAATAACAGCTTGTGTTAAATCAGCAAATGGTTTCACCTATTTATTCCGTAATTATCGTATGTGGAAATTAAAAACACACTGGAATGCTGATGGTCCACATATTGTACGAGGTAAAAATTATCCACAAAATCCTCGTATAGCGTTACTTCATAACAATATCATTTATCTACTACGTGGTAAATTAGCATTTCAATTTAACGAAAATGATAATGATCGACACTTAGAAATAAAATCCATTGATTCAATATTAAAAACACTGCCAACAGAACATATATATTCTGGTTTCACTTATCAAAAAAGACATTATTTGTTTGGAAAAAAGAATGTCTATGTTTATGATGCAACAAGCGGCAAATTAGTATCGGGTTATCCAAAACAAATGAAGAATGGTTGGTTCGCATGTGAGGAAAATAAAGATGAAATGAAACAAAAGAAAAAATCAACCACAACTACTACAACAACAACAACAACAAGAAGTCAATTTTATAATCGACACCATAATCGAAGGCCGCATCAATACCGTCATCATCATCATCACCACCATCACGATTGATTTTTTATTTTCTACTTTTAAAAGCATCTCCTTTTTTATGAGAATCTATTCAAGAAGAAATATATCAGTTTTTCAAAATAGCAACGCTCTTGTTTACACGTATTTCACTGGTTTTAATTGTTCTGAAAAGTAACGCTTAGGAATGAATAAACATCATTGAGTAATTCGAAAGACACATTGTAACACAACTAATTCATTAAAGAGCATTACAGAAGTCGAGAATAATAGATATTAAATTGTAAATTGGAGCATATCGATAAATAAACTTAACTTGAGCTACTACTATTCCTAAAGTCAACATGTCTAATGAGTAATGCACTCTTGAACTTTTAATTTGCACTATGCGAACGAAAACAATTTGCTCCTGTAGAATCTCTCATGCTAGGGACCGTTGTTCAAGTAAATTATGCTCCTATGATTGCCCATAGTTGGTCATTATTCATTTTATCTCGTCACTTAAAAAGTGGAAATGACTCATATACGCATAGATATAAACTACCATTGAGGTATTACAAATATATTTAGAAAACTAATTCAAAAGAACAAATTATTTTTAGATTAATTCGCGATCTTCTTATCTTAATTTTCTGCTGACATTTAGTTCATCGTAGATCCTTAAAAACTTGTCTAACTATAGAGACAGCCTTAAACATACTGTGCCTATATCAGATGCTTTATACTGCATTTTTCTTTAAAATCGTAAATTTAAATCATGTGAATCACGCTGTGTACTAGAAACTTAAACAATATTTTACCGTTAGGGTGAGCATTTACACTTCCAACTATATTATTCGAGCCAAAAATTGGTTGATTCAGTTTCAAATCTCTAGAATAGAAAAGAGTAGATATTACACATTATAGGAAAACAAAATTCTTCTATATTCATACTTCATGTACATAAAGGCACTAGCAAAACTTGATAAGGCATCGTTTGCATCACCAGAAAGAAAAATTAACTGAAAAAAAACAAATACAATAGATCCAAAACTTACAGCATCCCATTCACAAAAAAAAACATACTCGATGAGTTGTAACAAATAATTTTCCTTTGTGCTCTTTAGTACCCATAATCGGCGGGCCATCTTTGAATTTAAGTCTAACGTCCTTTGCATGATAAACAATCCTAAACGAAACAAAAATAATAACAACGATATAGAAAATTAAATCACTTCTTTTTCTTGCAAAAAAACATCATCGGTAAACAAATACTTACGCTTCACCTTGAAATAAAACAATGCCACCTTGATAATGTGCTTGATTAATCGACATCTTTGAAAAAAATTCGATCTAGAGATATAGAAAAAATTATAAAAAACATAAAGACTCTTTCTAATATTATTCTACTTAGTGTTGATGCTTCTAATCACAGAAGATAATCACACTTTGAAAAACGACGAAAAGGAAAAGTGCAAGTAAAAACAAAAACATGTGCGCAACTTGAAAATCTGATTTCTACTGTGAAAAGAAATTCCGCTTCACTTTTTTCTGTTTTACTCTAATTATAGATGTATGTCCAACGCACTTAAAACTTTTAAATAATAACATCTATTTATACTTTTTAAATCATATGCCACTTTAATGATTATTTTTATGGCTATATGCGACAGAAAGTTCCGCTTTTTAAAGCTACTTTTCACATCGTAGTATTAGTTTCTGACAAAGTTTACGATTTGTTCCTCTCAAATAAGAATAAAAAAAAAAGTTTTTCCTAGCCAAACAAATTATTAAAACTTAGGGAAAATTCAGCATGTGTTGAATCTAGAATAAAGACGTCAAACGATTAATAAGTGGCAAAACATTCAGATGAAAATGCTCCATTTGATCAGACCGATTATTGAGTCCTTTTTTTCTTTAGTTATTCGACTATAATGGGTTAAACATAAACTTTAGAACAGTACTTAAATACAAGTTGTGTGCACCCATCCTATGTTTTAGATCAGAGCTGGAAAATCTGTTTCACTTAAAACCGCTGATTCCATAGACACTCGTTAAAATTACTAGTAGGTATAAACCCTGTGGCAGTTAAAAAGCGTTCAACGAGTTAAAAATCATTATAAATACCTAGTTACGAAAGCGCGAACATTAAGAAAAGACGTCAAAAAGTTGAAATTATTATCATATAAGCGCAATCATGAATAATAAAGATTCTCGCACCGTAGAGAAACACTGACAAGTTCATTAACTATTCCTTTTCTTTTCATTATATATTATGAAATTGGATTACTATATTTTTCACGCACTACTGTCCTATTTTAATCTTTGCTTCCACAATTTACCACACGGTTCTAATTGGCTTCAAAAAATTTCATCCTCCGGAAACACCACTTGAGTATGCGTCACGCTAGCTGTATCTTCCAAATCCGCAGAGCTTCAATATTTCCTACAAGTTCACTTCTACGATTGCCTTTAGTAATTTGCCAGCAAAATCAACTGGAAAGGTCTTATGTTCTCCGTTTTTTTTTATTGGTCTATTAGCATCAAAATAATGGAGCGACTTTCTACCCTCGACCGAACGTGCATATATACCAGTACAGTGCTCGTATTTGAGACTTTCACACAAACATCTGCACTTTAAAAAACAAGGTAACGCTCGCCTCGACTCGCTCGGTCCCCTGACTTTATTAACTTGGATCTGCGCAACCGAATGCCCGTTGGTGACTTTTAAATCGAAGACAACGCTCATGCCTCCAGCGTTTCTAATAGCAAAGCGTACCCACTGTATCAGAGCGTACGTACGCTTCGGAATTTAAAAATACGCTCTGTTTTACGCTTTGCTGAGAAAAGCAGAGCGTACAGTGTACGCTTTGCTATCGCTGTTTACGCTTTGTTTTCTAATAGAACTTTTTTGATATTTTAGAGAAAATAAGAACTTTTTTAACTAGTGAGTCATTCTGCTGTTTAGAACACAGAAAAGACATGTCACGTACGAGGCTCTAACTGCTGATCATATGGAGTTTGTAGCTACTTAAGAGATAAATAAAATCACCTAGAAGCTGAAGCAAAGAACGTGTGGAACACGGTTTCCTACAGGGAGGAAGCCTCGATGTGACACCTTCTCTGACAACTTTGAGATCGTTTTCCTCTGGAATAAAATGTTGCGTGTGGATGTTTTATATATTAGATGAAGAAGGAACTCCAGTGCTACAAATATTGATATGAACGCGTTCTTATAATAGTCATAGGGATTCAGAGCAACGATTGCAAAATGGCCTCAGAAGAAAAATATGAGTTTTCGTTTCGTTTGAAAATTTATGAAGAACATGAAGAAAGTGTATATTTAGCTGAGTGGTCATCGAATGATCCATGGCTATTAGCATTACTAAGCTATGATGGACGTTTAATATTAAATCGTGTACCAAAATGTCCAAATTAAGTCAAATTAAAAAATGATTGTTGCTGTTTTTGTTATTTTTTTCTGTATAAATATTTATTAAATAAAAAATATTTACAAAAATCAAAAAAGAAACGTAGTACAAAGCACAAATCGATATATGAAAAGAAAAAACTCTGTTCCCATTTTATTACTGAAAGGCACATATCATGTTATTCTACTAGTCATGTAACAGTATTCTGCATTTGATCGAGAGAGGAAGGGAAGCGTTAATCCAAAGAATTATTAAGCTAGCGTGCAATACTTTCGAGAAACGAAGTATCCACACTAGCATAGTCAAAAACAAAACAAAAACCGTTCATTCCTACTGTGTCAACGACTGAATCAATGATATTAAATCAAAATTTGATCCTGAATGATTATTATGCCCCACTGTTGTTGAAGGTAGTGTTGGAAGAAGAGAATAAGCTGTTCGACTTAGTGACTGATCTGTTTCATTTGAAAATAAATCATAAGCATATTGTGAGTAATCATGTAATTCTTTTCGACATGATAAATTCTAAATAAGTAAAAATGCGATATTGATATTATATTATTTAAAAATGGAAAAGTTACACTAACCTGGAAATGTATGATTAATTGTTCTTGATTATTAGAAATTTTTTTCTATATCTTATCACAAACAGGTATTAATTTTGCCAATGGTAGTTGAGGATTCAATAACTGATCAGTGATACTAAAACGTAGAACATGATGGAAAAGTTTGTAAAACCAGAGTAAATCAAGTCGTTAGTTTACTTCTGATCCGAATTCACTGATAATGGTTCTATTTTTGCTATTTCACTTGCAAATTCATCATAAATAGAAGAAAAACTTTGGTTAATAACATGTGTTAACACTTGCTGAAATGTTTCACTAAAAGATTAAACAACAGGCTCTTATTTATATTTAAAAGACTATTCAGTGTAGTCTACCTTTCAATCATTTCAATACATTCGAGTTCAAATTGTTGTTAGATATTGAATAGAGATGGTCGTGGACGATGGTTTCGGGTTGTGAAAAATTAATTTGTCTACAATAGAAGACGAAACATTGGTTAAGAAACGAGAAAATAAGAATATGCATGTCACGCACGTTAGTTAATGAATATGGTAGCATTCCGTTGGGCTGAGATAACTGAGTTGGCTGTCCTCCTGGTAATGATAATGATCAAACATATTTCATAAATGGATGATCACATCCTGAATATCCAACGTTTGTTACATGAGAGAAAAACATTTATTTTTATTTCCAAATAAATTTTTGTAATATGAGTAACCGTAACTTTGTCGCTTTTCGACCATCTTCAATCAAGAAATTCAATCCTAAACAAGAATGAGTTAACAATTATGCAATTTGACTAGAAGACAAACTCAACTTACCATCGACTGTAGCATAACGAATAACATCGAGACATGCTAGTTGAATGTCATGTGATATAATGGAATGATTTTACGATCACTAAAAACACAAGTCTTTCCATTATTTTCTAAATATTGGATAACTGCCTACCTCTGCGTACGATGATTTTGTTCTTGTGGCTGATAATGGTGTCTGTTGTTGCTGCTGTGATTGTGAGTATAATCTTCCACTTAGAGCACTTACAACCAATTCGGTTAATGATAATATAAAACTTGAACCGTAAGAAAAGGTAATTAACCGAGAAAAACCTAAAAAAATACTCTTTATACTGAACCACATGACTTGATTATTTTTTTCAAAAAACGGTGAATTTACCTAGAAACGGTGTATGAATTTGGAACTCATTCACATATTTCAAAAGTAGCATCTGTTTACTACAATTTATTATTTGCAAAGAGCAAGTTGAGATTTTGTTTTTTTAAATAAAAAATTGATTTTATTGTCGCTAGGTGTCAGCTAAAATCATGGTTTTTCATATTGCCCTAGTCGAGACTCCCGGCAAAACTCCCATGGGACTCCTGTCACGGGATCCTGCGAGATCCTGTAGGAGTCAGGTGGGACTTTCAAGGGATTTCTCAGGACTCCTGAAGACTCCCGTAGGACTTTGAGTATTCTGAGGACTTTCGTTGGACTCCCGCAGGACTCGAAACCTCCACAGA